CAACTACAAATAGTGAGTGTTGTGAAGTGTTTAGTGTCCGTGCAGAAGTAGATATTTCTATGGCAAACGTAAGTTTGAATTTATCACTTGTTGATTTAACTTGAGTTAGGGTCTCTGTTCTCTAAACTAAATTAAACAATCATTCAAAATATGTAATAGTAGTGTCGAAGTACCCAACTACAAATTTGTCAGAATTAGAAGGTCTTCTTAAATTCTTAAACAACAGTTTCCTATTTCTAACCTACAACGTATATGAATGTAAACATTAGCGAAATCTTAATAATGAGCTCCCGTTAATAAGGATTATTAATTAGAAGCTTAGAACAAGCAATCACAACTACAAATAGTGAAAGTGTTGTGAAATGTTTACAGTGTCCGTGCAGGAGTAGATATTTCTATGGCAAACGTAAGTTTGAATTTATCACTTGTTGATTTAAACTTGAGTTAAGGCCTCTGTTCTCTAAACTAAACTAAACAATCATTCAAAATATGTAATAGTAGTGTCGAAGTACCCAACTACAAATTTGTCAGAATTAGAAGGTCTTCTTAAATTCTTAAACAACAGTTTTTAAATATATTTGAGTCATCATACAGATTTTTGTAGAAACGATGGATACATTACATGAAATGAAGAAACTCGCAGTGTTATTTAATTGCTTTGTGACTACCACAGCATATTTTAGTCAAAACAACAGACACTATTACTTGTCAAAAAAGAATGACCACAGGAGTGCTTGAACTGTTCAAAAAAGACATGAATGCCTGGTTGACTAATGCTGATGAAGTTTAGAAGCATACACAAAGACCTAAATTGTAATTTTCAGTACCTAATTTGCTAGCATAGCTTCATCAGCTTTTTTCGTTTCTCTGTTCGCATAGGGACTAGGTTTGAGTTGTAAATGATCTAAATACGAAACACACATACAGAATTAGAAGATCTCCTTAAATTCTTAAATAATAGTTTTTAACTATATTTGAGAGTTATCATACAGATTTTGTAGAAATGATGGATACATTACATGAAATGAAGAAACTCGCAGTGTTATTTAATTGCTTTGTGACTACCCACAGCTTATTTTTAGTCAAAACAACAGACACTATACTTGTCAAAAAAGAATGACCACAGGAGTGCTTGAACTGTTCAAAAAAGACATGAATGCCAGGTTGACTATGCTGATGAAGTTTAGAAGCATACACAAAGACCTAAATTGTAATTTTCAGTACCTAATTTGCTAGCATAGCTTCATTAGCTTTTTTCGTTTCTCTGTTCGCATAGGGACTAGGTTTGAGTTGTAAATGATCTAAATACGAAACACACATACAGAATTAGAAGGTCTTATTAAATTCTTAAACAACAGTTTTTAACTATATTTGAGAGTCATTATACAGATTTTTGTAGAAACGATGGATACATTACATGAAATGAAGAAACTCACAGTGTTGTTCAATTGCTTTGTGACTACCAAAGCTTATTTTTAGTCAAAACAACACAACACTATTACTTGTCAAAAAAGAATGACCACAGGAGTGCTTGAACTGTTCAAAAAAGACATGAATTCCTGGTCGACTAATGCTGATGAAGTTTAGAAGCATACGCAAAGACCTAAATTGTAATTTTCAGTACCTAATTTGCTAGCATAGCTTCATCAGCTTTTTTCGTTTCTCTGTTCGCATAGGGACTAGGTTTGAGTTGTAAATGATCTAAATACGAAACACACATACAGAATTAGAAGATCTCCTTAAATTCTTAAAACAGTTTTAACTATATTTGAGAGTCATACAGATTTTTGTAGAAAATGGATACATTACATGAAATGAAGAAACTCGCAGTGTTATTTAATTGCTTTGTGACTACCACAAGCTTATTTTTAGTCAAAACAACAACACTATTACTTGTCAAAAAAGAATGACCACAGGAGTGCTTGAACTGTTCAAAAAAGACATGAATGCCGGTCGACTAATGCTGATGAAGTTTAGAAGCATACGCAAAGACCTAAATTGTAATTTTCAGTACCTAATTTGCTGCATAGCTTCATGAGCTTTTTTCGTTTTCTCTGTTCGTATAGGGACTAGGTTTGAGTTGTAAATGATCTAAATACAAACACACATACAGAATTAGAAGGTCTTATTAAATTCTTAAACAACAGTTTTTAACTATATTTGAGAGTCATTATACAGATTTTGTAGAAAACGATGGGTACATTACATGAAATGAAGAAACTCACAGTGTTGTTCAATTGCTTTGTGACTACCAAGCTTATTTTTTAGTCAAAACAACAAACACTATTACTTGTCAAAAAAGAATGACCACAGGAGTGCTTGAACTGTTCAAAAAAGACATGAATTCCTGGTCGACTAATGCTGATGAAGTTTAGAAGCATACGCAAAGACCTAAATTGTAATTTTCAGTACCTAATTTGCTAGCATAGCTTCATCAGCTTTTTTCGTTTCTCTGTTCGCATAGGGACTAGGTTTGAGTTGTAAATGATCTAAATACGAAAACCACATACAGAATTAGAAGGTCTTATTAAATTCTTAAACAACAGTTTGTAACTATATTTGAGAGTCATCATACAGATTTTTGTAGAAACGATGGATACATTACATGAAATGAAGAAACTCACAGTGTTGTTCAATTGCTTTGTGACTACCAAAGCTTATTTTAGTCAAAACAACAAACACTATTACTTGTCAAAAAAGAATGACCACAGGAGTGCTTGAACTGTTCAAAAAAGACATGAATGCCTGGTCGACTAATGCTGATGAAGTTTAGAAGCATACGCAAAGACCTAAATTGTAATTTTCAGTACCCAAATTTGCTAGCATAGCTTCATCAGCTTTTTCGTTTCTCTTTTCGCATAGGGACTAGGTTTGAGTTGTAAATGATCTAAATACGAAACACACAAACAAGATAGCTTTCTCAATTTTTTTCAATTCAAAATTCAACACCATACATGTTGACCTCATAGAAGTACATGTTTGTTGAATAGCTTTGAAAAAATCAAGGGACTACCCTGTTATAGCTGCAGTACTGAACTCTACATTAAAATAATTTATGATGCCATGCTAATGACCAAATTATAATCAACAGTATGCTCCTTACTGGGAAACTATTTTTATTTCTGCAGATCACATAATTATTACATACATCCCTTAAAAGGGTCCAATTTGAAGTAACATATTATAGAGTTCAATTTTCACATTGTTGACATATTAAAAGGTTTATCAATGGTCTTTTTACGGGTTCTTCTTCTGACGATGGAAAGTTCAATTGCTTCTCCCCTAAACAATGTAGGTCAATTTTGTTTTTTCCTTTCCACAAAATGACAACTACATAAGTATGCACCAGGACCTGGTTCAACTGTTCTCCTGCAATAAGACAAAAGTTCAATTTGAATAGCAATGATATCTAAATACAGCATTTTTGATAAGCAAGATAACCACACATTAGCGGATCGCTCAGTTACATACCTGCTTGTAAACTAACGGCCTTATTTTCAACAAAAATTGTTTTTAAACTCCACTTTCACCACTTGATACGGAAGAAGTTTTCTCAAGGTGTTTATGTTTACTTTTTTGATAGTTTTACGGATTTCCTTACTATGATATTTAGGAATTAACTTTCAGAATCTTAATTTTTCCTTTCATTATGTTGTAGATGCACACATCTCACAATAGGAGTTATTGAATTTTAATTTTAAACAAAATACATTTCATTTTCCAGGTTAGAAAAAATTACCTATGACAATGACATTGACATTACAAAACAGAAAACATATACACTGAAGAAAGCATAGTCCACTGCTATCCATAGACGAACACGGTTGACATATGTCAGTGTCAAGCGCCATTTTTTTGCAAGTCGTGTTATAGCTAGATTTATGCGACGATCCTCATATAAATCTAAGTCTGCTATACAATTTGCTACATGGAAGATTTTATAACGCCATGTATGGTATTAACAACAACACATGCGACGTTGCCGGCATCTCACATAAATCTGAGTCTGTTATACAATTGTATACAGGATATTTTCAATGCTATATGGAAGATAATAGACAACAGATAACAGGTAAAAGGTGGTAACAGGTAACAGGTGGTAACATATAACAGATAACAGATAACTTATAACAGATAAAAGATAAAATATGACAGATAACAGATAAAAAGTAACAGATAGAAGAAAACAGGTAACAGACAACAAATAACTGATAACTGAAAACTAAAAAATGAAAACTGAAATCTGAAGAATGAAAAATGAAAATGAAAAATGAAAAATTGAAAATTAAAATCAAAAATCAAAAATCAAAAATCAAAAATCAAAAATCAAAAATCAAAAATCAAAAATCAAAAATCAAAAATCAAAAATCAAAAATCTAAAATCTAAAATCTAAATCAAAAATCAAAAATCAAAAATCTAAATCAAAATCAAAGATCAAAGATCAAAAATCAAAAATCAAAAATCAAAAAATCAAATCGAAAAATCGAAAAATCGAAAATCGAAAAATCGAAAAATCGAAAAATCGAAAAATCGAAAAATCGAAAAATCGAAAATTAAAAATTAAAAATTAAAAATTAAAAATTAAAAATCAAAAATCAAAAATCAAAAAATCAAATCGAAAAATCGAAAAATCGAAAAATCGAAAAATCGAAAAATCGAAAAATCGAAAAATCGAAAAATCGAAAAATCGAAAAATCGAAAAATCGAAAAATCGAAAAATCGAAAAATCGAAAATCGAAAAATCGAAAAATCGAAAATCGAAAAATCGAAAAATCGAAAAATCGAAAATCGAAAAATCGAAAAATCGAAAAATCGAAAAATCGAAAAATCGAAAAATTAAAAATTAAAAATTAAAAATTAAAAATTAAAAATTAAAAATTAGAAATTAGAAATTAAAAATTAAAAATTAAAAATGAAAAATTAAAAATTAAAATAGAAAAATGAAAAATGAAAACTGATAACTTATAAAAGATTACAGATACCAGAAACCAGATACTAGACACCAGATACCAGACACCAGATACCAGATACCAGATACCAGATACCAGACACCAGACACCAGATACCAGACATCAGATACCAGAAACCAGATACCAGATACGAGATACCAGATACCAGACACCAGACACCAGATACCAAATACCAGACACCAGACACCAGATACCAGATACCAGACATCAGATACCAGACATCAGATACCAGACACCAGAAACCAGATACCAGATACGAGATACCAGATACCAGACACCAGATACCAGATACCAAACACCAGATACGAGATACCAGATACCAGATACCAGCCACCAGAAACCAGATACCAGATAAAGAGATAACAGATACCAAATACCAGATACCAGACACCAGATACCAGATACCAGATACCAGACACCAGATACCAGACATCAGATACCAGACACCAGATACCAGATACCAGATGCCAGACACCAGATACCGGATACCAGATACCAGACATCAGATACCAGACACCAGATACCAGATACCAGATACCAGACACCGGATACCGGATACCAGACATCAGATACCAGAAACCAGATACCAGACACCAGACACCAGATACCAGATACCAAACACCAGATACGAGATACCAGATACCAGATACCAGCCACCAGAAACCAGATACCAGATAAAGAGATAACAGATACCAAATACCAGATACCAGACACCAGATACCAGATACCAGACACCAGATACCAGACATCAGATACCAGACACCAGACACCAGATACCAGATGCCAGACACCAGATACCGGATACCAGATACCAGACATCAGATACCAGACACCAGATACCAGATACCAGATACCAGACACCGGATACCGGATACCAGATATCAGATACCAGACACCAGACACCAGATACCTGATACCAGATACCAGATACCAGACACCGGATACCGGATACCAGATACCAGATACCAGATACCAGACACCAGACACCAGATACCAAATACCAGACACCAGATATCAGATCCAGATACCAAACACCAGATACGAGATACCAGATACCAGCCACCAGAAACCAGATACCAGATAAAGAGATAACAGATACCAAATACCAGATACCAGATACCAGATACCAGATACCAGACACCAGATACCAGACATCAGATACCAGACACCAGATGCCAGACACCAGATACCGGATACCAGATACCAGACATCAGATACCAGACACCAGATACCAGATACCAGCCACCAGAAACCAGATACCAGATAAAGAGATAACAGATACCAAATACCAGATACCTGATACCAGATACCAGATACCAGACACCGGATACCGGATACCAGATACCAGATACCTGATACCAGATACCAGATCAAAGATGCCAAAGGATAAAAAATGATTAGAGATAGTTATCGCTAGCATTGCATTAGCATACCAGCAACTGCGCTACGTGAGGTTTTAAATAAAGACATCAACGTACAATATTTGGCATAGCGTTAGCATGCCAGAAACTGCGCTAGTCGACTATATTAAGCGGTGATCGATTGTTTTAAGGAAGAGGTCACGTGACGTTAGAAATTTTGGGCGGGCGACGTCGACGCGGTTTTTTCGGTTTTTTCCCGGTTCGCGAAACGTTCGGAAGGAAGGAGGTACCGTTTCGGAAACTAGAAACTCGGCGCTTTACGGGCGGGCGAGAGCCGTCGCGGCGAGAGGAACGGATCGGATCGAAAACGGCCGGTAAAGTCGAAAAATCTACCGTTTTCCGGACGGTACGCGGCGTTATTTCACACTCGTTTCGCCGTTTATCGAAATATCGACTCGAGATCGGTCTCGTTCGATAGCTAAACGAGAAATACGTACCAATAAGCTAAATCTGTTCGGTTCCGCGTCTCGGTTTTTTTTCTAGAAATGTTCGAAAAAAAAACGACAAAAATGACGAATCGCCTTGAAAACTACGATATCTCCCTTATGCCGAAGAGAAAAGGAATTTCGCGTGCCGCGTTTCGTACATCTCGGCGAGCGCTACAAATTACGCGGAGAGACGTTTTTTCGTTTACGGTACCCGTTTCGAGTAAACGAATCTCGAACGTCGTCAAGAATGACTTTTTTGCGTATAAAGCGCGCTGCTTCGCCGTATATCAGCTATCTCCTCCGAAGATAAAGGAGCTACGAACCTGACGATTTTTGCGTGAGAAAGTCCATGCTTCGGACACTCTTTTAATACTATTTTCATCATTATTATTCGTTTACGTTGAAAAGTTTCGATTTTTTAAAAATTCCTCGACAACACGCTACTTTTCGACGCGTGAAAAAGTCACCTTGTCATCCGGCTCTGTCCTCGCTTATTACTACCGTACGTGAGCGAGTAAAAATTATACAGCTATCGAAAAATAACGATAATGAGCTGACGAAACGATTCTGACCGTCAGAATTACCGTCAAATTTCGAGAAAGTAAACTTTGAGCGCCTCAAAAGCACCGATGACAGCCGTTTTTCGGCGTACTTTGTCTTCGTCGATACGCACCTGCGTTACGGAGCGACGTAGCTACGTTTTTTTTTTCGCAAAACGAAAGACCAAAGTCTCCTGATTAAACCGACATACTACACGTTACCCGATCGCATTTTTTAAACTCGGCAGATTACAAAATTCAAAGATATGCAGATATTTTTAGTTTGACGTTTCAATTTTGAATTTCCCCTCCAGATCCCCGGATTCCTGTTAGGCGGGGTATTGTAGACACGATCGTATTACGAAAGCGAGCGCGTGCAAGCGGAACGTCAAAAACGTGCCATTTTCGGCTTTATGTTGGTCGCTTCATCGAATATAGGATC